TGTTACAGTTAAATACCGCCGAAAATATGTATCTTAGAAAAAAGTTTCAGACAAAAGTTTTATAGTTTTTTGGGGGAAACATTTTGGATAATTTCATTTTTTTATAGCTGGCCATATCGAGATGGACTTTGTTTATTAAATTGGAACCCCATTATTTTTTTTTTCATATTCTTAAAGTACATAAAAAAATAAGAAACTTTTGATGGAAATATTTTTTTTGTTCGACTTTTACTTTTTGAGTAACAGCTACTTGAAAATTTTGCTGGACGAAAAAAAAGTTGACCATATTATGGTTAGCTATAAAAAACGATTTTAGCCAAAACTTTTTCCCCACAAAACTATAATACTTTCGTCTGAAACGTTTCTTTTATAATAGGCGGTCTTTAGCTGTAACACTTTAATTTGAACAGCCGGTATATTTTAGATCTTTGAAATCCCTTGTTTCAGCGGATAAACATTATTCTATCAAAACAGCAAAAATAATATTTAGCACTTAATTTTAAATAGGTACAATTTTTTTTTTTTAGAAATAATTCAGAACATTACTGTCAATTTCATAAATAAATAAAATAGGAATAAATATTTTACTTGTAATTTTTAGCTATTGCATTCAGGTAGAATTTTCATGAACTATTTTGATAAAACCTAATTTAAAAGAAATACTCTGTTAAAACTATAATCTATGGATTTATAAAGATTATTTACATAGGTCCATAAATACATATTGATTACCTACCTGTTTAGAATTTTATTTTTGTTTTGATGTAGAAAATAGGATTAAAACAATTCCAGGAAATAGGATATAAATTGTTTATTTATAAATAAGGGATTGATTGATTCATTGGAAATACCAACAGTTTACACATTGAGGCAGATAGTTTTGAACATGGATTTTAAAAGAATATTTACATTATTATTTTCTTTGAGTTTTATAGTGTGACGCCTCTTAGTTTTATGTAAAAAAAATATTTATTATTTATCTATTCGACACAAAAATAACTCATTTTAATGTATATTTAATCTCAATAATTGAATATACTGACGATTAGTTTGACACAATTGTCACTTATTTAACATTTTAAAAAGAATTGTATTGGGTGACCAAAATATGAACTACCTAGAACAGATATGAAATATATCCGTTTAAATGAATGCAATAGCATACTTTTTCGTTTTGTATTCTGTACGTAGCTAATATCCATGTGGACTAAAAAAAATTATTGTTTGATCTAAGAACAAACCCTGGATATTTAGAACCAGTGACTTTTATAAATTAGCGACAGCAAATTTAATAGTATTATTTTATTTATTATCGTATATTTTTTAATTAGCTTCAATTTTTTTATTTAGATAACTTTTGTACGGCCCGATTAAACTCTGGTGCATATTAGAAATATATACAAATTCCTATCATCTGTATAAAAAGATGCCTTTAAAAGTCTTCTAAATTTATATATCGTTAATGAATTAAAAACTCAACGAATTTTGCAGAAAACATATGTGTACTACTGCTCAATATATCTATATTAAAATACAAAAAATTTTACGGGGTTAAAAAAACATATATTTTTAAATAATTTAATTTATCCCGTTCCTGGGGTACGCCAATGCAATTTATTTATACTCCGCTGCGACTAACAAACGTGTACGGCCTTCAGTCCTGCAGTATATCCCCTCCCTTACCTCACACATCACGTCTTTCCTCTCCTGATCACCAAATCGACTAATTTGATGTTGGCATCATAGATATTCTATTTTATGAATGAGTAGTTATATCTCCCTTGTTATCTCTGGGCCAGGTGTATGCATAGACTGTCGATAGCTATCTTTCTTTTTCCCCTATGGATTACTATTGTACTCATTCTAGCCTATAACATTTTCTTTTATTGATACTAGTATTCAAATAATTCAGATTTTATATCTGAGAGGGTCCAGATATCTCTCCACTATAACGGTTAGTGCCCGATGTTTTCAGTATATCTCTAAACCTTCATACAGATACCTCGTTTTTGTGAAAAATTAATAAAATATATAGTGATTCTTTCTTTTATTTTGTTCATTAGTCTATTATTTAATATAATTATGTCGAGTGAAAAAAAAAAAGAACTGAAGTGTGTTTTTTGTGACACGGTAAAAACTGATAAATTACTGATATTTTCAAAAGAAACTATGTCAAAATATCTACAAATTACTTTTATAATTTACGTTTTATTTTTACAGATTCCGATTCAATGGATGATGAAGACGAATCACACTACGGCAGACATAATTCCGATGATGATGAATGAATGAAAATTCGAATTATTGAAAAAAAAAAATATAAAGGGTGTTTCAAAAAGATTGGTCATAAATTATACCACGTATTCTTGGATCAAAAATAGGTCAATTAAATCGTACTTACTTATATACAAAAGTACACCCAAAAATAGTTACAGGGTGTATAAAATAAAAATTTAAATGAATTTTTTTAACGTTGCTTTTAAACCGTTTGACATTTTTTCATGAAATTTTATATGACGTGTTGAAATACCATGACTAACAAAATCGAGATAGAGGCAATATATTTTTTTTATTTTTGTAGGATTTTGGAGGGGGTCACCGCTATTTTCTCTACTCAACTTTTTTTGTACTGAAATGCAACATCTATTTGAAAACTTTTTTGTCTCCTAGTATTTGTTTGTAAAATGTTTGGTTTAGACGATACAGCCACTTAAAATAACATTTTAAAAATATTCAATGTAAATTATACATATGCAAAAATATCAAAATTCAATTTTCATTGTTAAAACTATGTAGTAAGTGTATACAGGAGGAGAATGTAATTTTGTTAAATATTTTTTTTTTTATTTTGATGACATTAGTTTGTAATTTAAAAATAAACTTGATTTTGATATTTTTTATACGTAGAATTTCCATTGAATATTTTTAAGTTGTCATTTCAAATGGCTGTATCGTCTAAACTAAACTTTTTACAAACAAATACTAAAAGACAAAAAGGTTCCAAATGAATGTTGTAATCCAATGGCGTTCCATTTGTAATTAAATTTTATACTACAAAAAAGTTGAGTAGAGAAAAGAGCGGTGACCCCCTCCAAAAACCTATAAAAATCAAGAAAACAATATTGCCTCTTCCTCGGTATTATTAGTCATGGTATTCTAACACGTCATATAAAATTTCATGAAAAAATGCTAAACGGTTTAAGAGCAACGTTAAAAAAATCATTTAAATTTTTATCTTATATGGTAACTATTTTTGGGTGCACTTTTGTATATAGGTTTAATCGACCTATTTTTGACCCAAGAATATGTGGCATAATTTATGACCAATCTTTTTGAAACACCCTGTATATTTTTTAGCTAAGGTTTTGTTGTCTGCTGACGTGTGTACTCAATGAAGACGTCTGCCGTGATGAATATAAGTTTTAAAGACCATTATAAATAAAATATATTAATGGCAGACCTGGTCAATTACTTTCAAAATTTTATTATTTTTAGCACTTTCAAAACTGTCTGCCAAAATGTTAAACCACGCGATAATGGTCTGCCATTGTTGTTTTCTGATAATAATAATATATTTTCAAATTTCAAAACGGTAGACGTGGTCAAATGCATTTAAAATTTGCCAAAAATCGATACCTGTCTTACCTGAGCGCCCGCCGCGTCCACCACTTTGGGCTTAGTGACTCCCTATTTCAGGTATGGTAGGTATGGGGTCTTAGTGTACAAAAACTCAGGTCTGGTCAAATACATAAAGGTAGCCGTCCACTGGCTCTTAGACTATAAATTTAATCAGTAACCTACTAAAAATTATTGTTTTCTTAAAATAAAATAATTATTCGTTTGTGTTAAGTGTTATTTATTTTACTGAAGAATTTAAATTACATGAATTACACTAAACTGAAAGTCTAATCTGATTGACATTAATGATTTCACAAGTGTCAAATTATTCCTTTCCATGGCACACTAGTTTATCGAATTAAAAATCAACTTTTAATAATTTTGTGTATTGACCAAAATAATGAAAAAAAACTAAAAATGCGAATTGTCATGAAATTTGGTATGTAGGGTTAGAATAATGTTCGGAAAAACTTTTTCAAATAACTTTTTCTCTAACGCGAAGAAAAATATCACCCTGTATGACTGCAAAATTTCAAATCTGTATTTATTTATATAGACAAAATAAATGCGCCACACTGTATTTTCAACAGTGCAATGACAATAAAATCTGCTTCATTAGTTGTGTTTTGTTTGCAATATAAATGTTATTTGATTACTACAAATTAAAAGACATCATGTAAAATGCCACTCCTTATTCAAGACTTTAAATTGCAAGTCTGGTCCAGTGTCAGCTCATTTGAAATAAGTTTTTAATTAACTATTTAAAGGCATAAATAAATTTTAATTATTACCATTAGTTAAAATAAACAAATGTTACAAATTACTGCACTGCATATTGTTTTTATTAATTTAACTGATAAAAAAATGGCATGTTGGTGTCTTAAATGTAGAGAAAAAGTAGAATTTGTTTATTTAAAACATGTGCTGATATTAAGTCCCTCTCTGCCTTATTTGGACCTCGTACGGCCTCCACTTGTTCGATTATCAAGAATATTCTATAGAATAGGGAACAACCCCTAAGCTACGACTATGCTTGGTCACGACTAGTTGAAGTGAATCATTAATTCTAGAATGCATTGGAATGATCACGTCAGTGCCTAGACAACGATTTTTGTGAATGCATTATTTTAAAAAATGGTGGAAGTACCGTTCCAAGAAAGTCTGGAATGTCCATAAAACGCCACACATGTAGCCAGAGTTTTCAGTTATAGTCAGTTTTAGTAAACAGATCATATTGTTAAGACAAATATTATCAAAGTAAATTAGTGTGTAAGTATTTGAGACATAAATTAGTGTTACATTGAGTATAAATAAATATTAAAATTCATTGCCAACCTGTCAGTCAGCCAGTATAATACATAAAAAAATAATTTACTAGGTACCTATCAGACAATTCTTTGTTCTGCTTATAAGCATGATCACCAACAGCCCTTGATAGGTTAAGGCCACCATTGACACGCCCATCAGCTGTCACTTTACCACCTGCTTTGACAATTCTCTCCCTCTCTGGTTCATCTTCAGGCTTGTGGTCAAAACTCATATCAATAGCTACACCTATGAAAAATAATTAAACAATATAAAAATACTCGAAAGCATTACAATGATATTATCTTGAGTACTCTAAATAAAAATTGTACATGATTTAATAGAATGTCACTTTTATAAAGTGGTGCACTTTTGGCTAAAACTCAAATGCTTATTTAGGACTTTACTAACTTACGTATAATTATTACAGGGTAATTAAATTACTACACAGTTTTAATAACACTCTGTAAATTGTTAACTATAAACATTTTACATTTTACTAACCTAAGGTCATATTTGTCAAATCGTCATATTATGACGTTAGGATATTATTCATTATTTTGATTTGAGGACATTTAAAGAGGGAATAATTATTAAAACAAATTTTGTTTCATTGAAAAATCACAAGTTGATGGAATAGGACTAGAGTGATAAAAATATACTTGGTTAAATTTAGTTAAACATCTGTTCACTAATTATAATACATGATGACTGATTTCATAACTTACCATTTCTACATACTATACACCTAGAATCACCTGCGTTAGCAACATACAACTCGTTTCCTTTCAACAATGCTACAACAGCGGTACACCCACTATCAGAACCTGGTTCTTCCTTCATGTTCCTCGCAAATTCCAGATCTTCTTCGTCGTCGTCCGCTTCCTCTTCTTCCTCGTCCCCCTCTTCCTCTTCATCATCGGCGGAAGAAGCATCTTCTTCAGAACCTTCTGCCTCAATTGCAATGTTTACTCCTTCATCATCATCACCGGAAGACTCTTCTGTTAATACATTTTATTATTATATGAGTAATTATGTCCGTGTGGAACATGGTTATTCAGTGCTGGCAAGATCAAAACTTCGGTTTTGCTTTACTAGCGTTGAAGTGAATAGTAAATTTAGTAAAGTACAGGAGAAGAAAGGATGTGGTATCGACATTGCCAGTCGAAAGTGGGATACCATTCACTGACTCGACCTGTGAATGGCAATTATGATACTGTGTCGTGTCTTTTCCTGCTACACAAGTAAAGTAGGACCGAATGTTTGATTTTTTCAGCCCTAGATGGTAAACGGTATAAATGCAATTATTTGTCCATAAAAACTTTTAATTAACTGTTTTATCTTAAGTTAGTAGCGTATGGAAAACTTTTTTATTATTAATTTTAGGAAAAAAGTTATTATTCATAAAAAGTTCTTCACTATTTAAAACCTAAAATTCAATCATCTGATACCAATTTCATCAGTCGTATGCGAGGTTTATCAAAAATAAAGGTACTTGCTCTCGACAAAAAATTATTTTCTTGAAAAATATCGTATAAGACTCATAAAATTTGATATCTGATGGTTATATTTTAGGTTTTAGACCATGCACAATTTTTTATGAAGAATACATTTTTTTGATAGAACTAATAATAAAAGTTTCCCATATGTAACTTATGTACACACCGTATACATTTTTAGTTTTTTTTTTTTAATATTGTTTACATGTACAAAAAAAATAGTTTAATATGTAACAAAATAATTTTTAATGCTAAAAGAATTCAATCTTGAAAATAATGAAAATAAATAGCGAATGATATCTATACCCTGTTATACTTTATGTCTACTGTCACAGTCATTGGAATACAAATTACTAAATCACTAATATAGCTTCTTGTTTCTTAACACCGAAGTTAAAAAAAATTATCTAACAAATATTAAGAACGTTTTTTTTTTTAATTTCCTTGTACAATTAAGGCAATCGAGTTTATTTTGATGTAGGTAGTCATTGAATAGCTTAACAATTTCAAAATGTTTAAAAAGGGCCCACTTTAGAAGGACCAAGAATAACCATTCTTACCATTTGGACCTTCGAAAGTCTTATCCTCTTCATCTTCGGTGTCTTCTTCACTATCTTGCCCAAGATCTAATAAAGTTTTATACAATTGTTTGGCATTTCTTTTCGGTCTCGTAGAGATATTTGATTTAAGAGTGATTGGTTTAATGCTCTTACCTATAAAATAAGAAAAAAATATTTAAAAGTTAAGAAATTATAGCAGTTTAAAAAAGTTACCTTTTCCTTTCTTGTTTACATCACCATTTTCTTGAGGAGCTGAACGGCCGTCCATAGTAGGAGTGTCTTTGTCCTCAGTGTCTCCATTCTGAGTCGCCTTGGCCTCGTTTCCATCCTTGTCATCACTTGTAGGTTCTTCCTGTTTTGGAACTGCACTATCTGAGGTTGTTACTTGAATTTCTGGCATAGATCCATTGCTTTCTAACGAATTTGGCAACTCTAATTAGGATTAGAATAATAAAAATAAAAGCACTTTATTTGTCATATATATGAGGAACAATCAAAATGGAAAAAAATAATAATAATACTTAGAAAATTCAGTTTTCAAATAATCAGAATCTGTAAAAGAGGTATAATCGAAAAATATTTATGGACCCTACTTCTCAATACAACTTTTTACCTAGTATAAATTCAAATTTGAGTGACTACAGAGTTTATGCTTTAGCCAAAATTTGGATAAAAGCGTTTTGTTATAAATAAGATAGACAGGGAATTGTTATATAAATGATGATAATTTTAAATTTCTGAAAAACTATTTGTTATTGATACAAAAATACCTCTACGAAATAATGAAAGTTATTTTATGAATTCCCAGTTAAAAAAAAAAACATCTCTAGTGTTATGATTGTAAGTCTAGTTAGTAGTCTAAGTTGTAAACATGCAATGACTGATGACATATTTGGTGGGTGAGGTTTTCATGATGGTGGGTGAGGTTTTCCTCACCTGTAAGTCAAATGGCTCCATCAATTATCTTTAAGTCGCCCCGGAGCGCCACAGCAAATAATAATAATAATAATAATAATAATAATAATAATAATAATAATAGCCGTCCCTTTCCCCGCACAAGCTCAGCTTTTGGGGTTAAAATTCCCTCGTAAGGGGGTGAATTAGGGAGAATATTATTTTATTATTACATAAGTCAACAGTCATGTCATGTAGCTTTGGCGGCACAAGAGCGTCTGTCCTTGCTTATTATTTTAAAACTGTTTTGTATAGTGTTCCAATAAAGATAGTATATCGTCAAATAAAAGGTGTCCTTTATTGAATACACAGGGAGTTTTTGTGGCCGATATCGATATATCGGCCATAAACCTTTATTATGAATATTTCACTATAAAACTTTTATGCCCTTTTAGCAAAAATTGCTAAGAAGTCTTATGAGAGGTTCAGGACAATGTCCTGGGTTCGATTTATCAAGGTCTGTTTTTGAATACCTTTGAAGAACTTACCGGTATAAAAGCAAGTAAATCACCATCATATAGGAAGAAGACTGATACTGATATGATGTTACATGTGCAAGTTTAAATCAGTTTCTGTGTCTAGTTTCGGAGATATGAATTTATGAAAATAATAAAAATGGCTGTTTTTTATCCCGCTAGAAGTTGTTAAAATAAAAAGTAACGCAATGAACAGTCATATTGCTGAATTTCCCATAAAATTACATTTTCGGTAATGTGTCATATTTGGAACTTTCCCTATTTAAATTGTTTTGGTTGGATTGACGGAAGTGAGAGGATATACATATGTATAACAGTTGAGAATATTATAGAAAGGTGTCCCCTTGAAATAAAAACCAACCTGTTTTTGCCTTTCTTTCCAAAAAATTCTCAGATACGGCCGGTCGCTACCCTTAATGAATGAGTCTATATATGAAAGCACATGAAATCGTCTAACCTCAAAAAGAACAGAAAGTTTAAATTAATCTTTTCCTTTTATTTTTTTTGTTCTCCTAAATTTTAAATAAAAATATAATTTAAATTGGTTTAAATTTAATAGTTGTGTTTTAATTTCATTAAAAAAATTTTAGCAATGGAAATATTTTATTAATTAAGCTAGATATAGGTCGATATTGCACTCTACATATTGGCCAATACCGATACTGGATACTAGAATTAGCAGTTACAAATTTCTGGTTATCACAACCATAGATGGCGCCACCTCATCGACAGTACATTTTTAAATCTTAACACAGGTGTCCCGAAATAATTAAACAAAAATAAAAGAGTGTATTTTGCGTTTTAGCTTTTAAATACTATAAAAAATGGCGGAAAGTCCATAACTTTTAAATGTTTGTAAAATATCGCTTATTAAAATATTATTCATTAAAAGTAAAACAAACTAAAGACTTTCCACCATTCTTTACCGTGCTCTGAACCCAATTTTAAAAACAATTTCTGAAAATATTATCGTTCAGAGCAGAATTTTTTGTGATAAAAAAGACACCGCACTTGTCATTAACAACGCGTTGACATTGAATTTAAGCGAGAAATTTTAAAAAAATCGTTTAACCTAGTTTTGAGTTATAACCTGTTAATACTAATATATAGGGTTTTTCATGATATACTGTACAAACTTAGGACCTGTTTGTATTCGATGTAAGGAAGGTCCCAGTGGTTTTCAAGTAGATATGTTTTTATTAGATTATTTCCAGAGGATCCTGTTGTTTTTATTACTAACACTTATTACAGCGAACTAGTGAAGATTGTAGAGTAAGTCTAGATATTTTATAGTATTGAAACGTGGCACTTATACTGATTAAATTATAGGGGTAGTGCTTATGTTATTAAAATTTTGTAAGGTATTTTCTTTACCTCCCAATTTTGCTGGTAGCTGTTGTTTTTGGGCTACTAATTTTATTGAAGAATAAACGAAAATTAATCTTTCTATGTAGTGAATGTGAATCAGGTTTTTGGAGGGTTCCAGAACTAACTAAAGAGTTGAAGTAAAACTTGACGTTGATATTACAAATATAAGGGTGTTCAGATCGGGCAAAGATCAAAATAATAATAGACCAATAAAAGTTTGTTTTCCCAGTCCCCAAAGAAACTGTCAAGGTGATAAAACAGAAAAGGGAGGTAAAAATTTCATCGATTAAAATTTTTCCTGATCAAACTAATGGTCCGGGAGGTAATGACAGATTTCAATAAACCATTTTGCAAGCTTTATTTTTTGAATATGAGTTATTTAAATAGCATCTAACAGTAAAATCATCGTCTTCCATTCCAGTTGTACGACAGGAGGTGGCGGGAGGGTTGCAATTCCAGTAAAAAAATTATAGTTGATATGAACATAAAAATACTAGAAAATGTCGTCTTCCACCTGAATTGTACAACAAAGTACGTCTTCCATTCACATAAATAGGCGTAAAAAAATTATAGTCGCAAAGGTGAAACCAAGCATGATGCTTATTTTTATAGTAAGAAAAATAAAAATAATAGTCTTCCACCAATAAAACACAACGAAGGTCGTCTTCCAAGCTAATAAAGGTGTTCTCGACATGCGGCGTGCTAACAGCTAGAACGTAGTATCTTGGAATGGAGTATTTATAATTTCTCTAGTTAAAGTAACTAAATTTAAAAGCACAAAATATATGTATTTTATTGGAATTTTCATAGAGCTTCTTATCAATTTTTTTTTAACAAATTACCTAATAATAAAATTAAGACTGAAATAAAAACACCGGGTACATATAAATATAACAGGAAGATAATAAAATTTAAATGTTTTTTAAATTTTAAGAGAAAAGGAACAAAATTCAAAAGAATTAAGTACTACCATAACAGAGATAAACCTAGTTTAATTTAAACACATACTCATATACCTACTTTTAAATTTAATTTTATTAAAATACAAAAAAATAAACATCAAATCTCAAATCATTCTTTGGCCATATAGGATATTACTAAAAAAAGTTATTAATTAAAATTTTTTGCAAAAATAACTACTTCTTTGAAGAAAAATATTAAAAATAGAACATAAAGAAGAATTTATAAAATTATTTAATAAATTTCAAAATATACTGATCTTTGAATTTTTGAAAAACCAAATATATTGTACTTTGTAGTACAAATGAAATAGCTAAGCACTAGTTCCAGATATTATTGGCTTGAATGGCTAATGATATTGAAAATTTAATTAATAACGGTCAAAGAATAAATATGATTGAAATCCACCAGTTTTAAAATTTAATTTGACACCCACTGCATCAAAACCCTTTGAACACATACATTTAGATACAAATGAAATGAAATAGCTAAGCACTAGTTACAGATATTATTGGCTTGAATGGCTAATGATATTGAAAATTTAATTAATAACGGTCAAAGAATAAATATGATTGAAATCCACCAGTTCTAAAATTTAATTTGACACCCACTGCAACAAAACCCTTTGAACATATACATTTAGATATATTTTACATTTCTAATAAATCTTATTTGACTATAATTAATTCTTCTTTGCGATATGGTCAGGCTTATCCCCAGAGATAACAGGAGATGTAGTTACTTACAAATATCGTGCTGTCGTGAATAAGACATATTCTAAGGGACACACTAGGGTATAATATCCGCTGTTGTCATATGCCTATTTCATTATTCTCGTTTTGTTTACAAAATTATTTACATATATTAAAAAAGCTAAAATAATTCAGCCTATTTTACTGCAACTGAACCCAAAAAATGTTGAATAATTTGTTATATCAAATTTAACTAAATTAGATATAATTTCACTAAATTAGATTTAATTATTTTCAATAAATTCCAAAACTTGTTAGTGGTATATTGGATATTAAGTATTTTTTACGAGATGTGGCAACAGCTAGTATTTTGTAGGCGGGGCATATTACGTTGTTTATTGTGAGCTTAGACAACGGAATATAAAATATTCATTCATAATTCCATCAACTTGTTTTGACAGTTGGCGTTGTAGAGATTGTTTAGTGTTATTGTTCATCTGATTTTCTCAGTTTTTTCTTGTGAAAGTGATTTCCCATTATTTTGTTAACATACAAACTTTAAAAATGGTGAAACAGTGCAAAATTTGTAAAAAACAAGACAAATTGGACCCAAATTCTTCGTTTCATATGTAAGTATTTATAGGTTAGAATTTACTTATCATAGACGTACCAATTACGAAAAGTATCTTATATATTTTTAAATTATTAGTATTATTAATGTTTTGAATTAACCATGGTTGTCAATTAGCCTTAACAAAGCAGGAGAAGATGCGAAATTTTAAAATTGGTACTGGGAATATTCCTAAAAATCTCAAAGTACCTAGTTAATCTTATGTAAAAATCGAATTTGTGTAAAAATTCTGCATTTTTTTATTAAATCTCTTTAAAACGGGTTTTAAAATGATTCAATTTAATTGAAAAAAGTTTCATAGGTAGTGTTATTTGGCAAAACTTTTGTTTTTAGTACCTAGGCATGTCAAAA